AATCCTAATGGCTTCAGCATCAACTATAGCCAACCAAGTACGAAATGGAAATATGGGGATCTTGGTAAAAAATACAAAAGCTAAGGCAGCATATATAAAGTTGCGCGGACTATTAAAAGCCCATAAATTACTAAAGATACTGCATTTAACATAAAATAAGTATAATGGAATCAAGATTGATGGCAGTCTGGTTAATAGCAATTAAACAGAAAATTATCAACACGAAATAAAATGCTCAGAAAAAAGACAGTTACAAAAAATTAAATATAGTAATGGAAGCATGAAAAGCTCATTGAAGCATCAAAACGGAATTGATTGACTACGAAAAACACAAAAATCTGAAGATTAATCGCATGCCAAGGAAGAAAATGCTACGCCTCACTCCTACACGACAAATACTAGAGAATAGTCCATATACACCTAAGAAAAATATTAAAAAGACCAAGGAAAAAGGTACAGATTCTAAAACAAAATAATCTTTACCAACAACGACAATTCAAACACACCTACTCCAAGTGAGTATAATGAAGGAATAAGAAAAAACACAGTTAAACCTAAAAACGAATCCAACGAATTTGTACACTCCGAATCAATAAAAAGGATAAATTTATACCCGATCAATCACAAACAAAATACCTAAAAAGGCATAAAAATATGAGACCATCATAGAAAAAGCTAGCCATCGCTTTCCGTCTAACTTACCAGAAGCCGCAATTAAAATGAGGATACTAAAAAGACATCACAGGTATAAATAACTGAAAAAAACTACCAAAAAAAACAACAGGAGTACAACGGTGAATACAAAAAATATCCAACTGCATGATACAACCAATTAAAAGCATTGAAACAGTCCTAGTCGCCTCAGCATCAACTATAGCCAACCAAGTATGAAATGGGAATAAGGGAAACTTGGCAAAAAATATAAAAGCCCAGGCAGCACAAAGGAAGTTGCGCTGACAACTAAAAGCCCATAATTTAATGAAGATACTGCATTTAACATAAGATAAGTATAATAGAATCAAGATTGATGGCACTCTCGTTAATAGCAATTAAACAGAAAATTATCAACACGAAATAAAATGCTCAGAATAAAGACAGTTACAAAAAGTTAAATATAGTAAAGGTAGCATGAAATGCTCATTGAAGCAGCAAAACAGAATTGAATGACTACGAAAAACACAAAAATCTGAAGATTAATCGCAGGTAAAGGAAGAAAATGCTACGCCTCCCTCCTACACGAGAAATACTAGAGAATAGTCCATATAAACCTAAGAAAATATTAACAAGACCAGGCCAAAATGTACAGATTCTAAAACAAAATAATCTTTACGAACAACGACAATTCAAACACACCTAATCCAAGTGAGTATAATAAAGGAATAAGAAACAACACAGTTAAACCTAAAAACGAATCCAACGAATTTGTACACTCCGAATCAATAAAAAGGATAAATTTATACCCGATCAATCACAAACAAAAACCACAAAAAGGCATAAAAATATGAGACCATCATAGAAATAGCTAGCCATCGCTTTCCGTCTAACTTACCCGAAGCCGCAATTAAAATAAAAATACGAAAAAGACATCACAGGTATAAATAACTGAAAAAGAACTACCAGAAAAAACAACAGGAGTACAACGATAAATACAAAATATCCCCAACTGCAAAATGTAACCACTTAAATTATCGAAACAATCCTAGTCGCTTCAGCATGAACTATAACCAACCAAGTACGAAATGGAAATAAGGGGACCTTGGTAAAAAATATAAAAGCCAAGGCAGCATACAGGAAGTTGCGCTGACAACTAAAAGCCCAAAATTTAATGAAGATACTGCATTTAACGTAAGATAAGTATAATAGAATCAAGATTGATGGCAGTCTCGTTAATAGCAATTAAACAGAAAATTATCAACACGAAATAAAATGCTCAGAATAAAGACAGTTACAAAAAATTAAATATAGTAAAGGAAGCATGAAAAGCTCATTGAAGCAGCAAAACAGAATTGAATGACTACGAAAAACACTAAAATCTGAAGATTAATCGCAGGCCAAGGAAGAAAATGCTACGCCTCCCTCCTACACGACAAATACTAGAGAATAGTCCATAAACACCTAAGAAAATATTAACAAGACCAAGCAAAAAGGTACAGATTCTAAAACGAAATAATCTTTACGAACAACGACAATTCAAACACACCTACTCCAAGTGAGTATAATGAAGGAATAAGAAAAAACACAGTTAAACCTAAAAACGAATCCAACGAATTTGTACACTCCGAATCAATAAAAAGGATAAATTTATACCCGATCAATCACAAACAAAATACCTAAAAAGGCATAAAAATATGAGACCATCATAGAAAAAGCTAGCCATCGCTTTCTGTCTAACTTACCCGAAGCCGCAATTAAAATGAGGATACTAAAAAGACATCACAGGTATAAATAACTGAAAAAAACTACCAAAAAAAACAACAGGAGTACAACGGTGAATACAAAAAATATCCAACTGCATGATACAACCAATTAAAAGCATTGAAACAGTCCTAGTCGCCTCAGCATCAACTATAGCCAACCAAGTATGAAATGGGAATAAGGGAACCTTGGTAAAAAATATAAAAGCCAAGGCAGCATATATAAAGTTGCGCTGACAACTAAAAGCCCATAATTTAATGAAGATACTGCATTTAACATAAGATAAGTATAATAGAATCAAGATTGATTTTAGTCGCGTTAATAGCAATTAAACAGAAAATTATCAACACGAAATAAAATGCTCAGAATAAAGACAGTTACAAAAAATTAAATATAGTAAAGGAAGCATGAAAAGCTCATTGAAGCAGCAAAACAGAATTGAATGACTACGAAAAACACAAAAATCTGAAGATTAATCGCAGGCCAAGGAAGAAAATGCTACGCCTCCCTCCTACACGACAAATACTAGAGAATAGTCCATATACACCTAAGAAAAATATTAACGAGACCAAACAAAAAGGTACAGATTCTAAAACAAAATAATCTTTACCGACAACGACGATTCAAACACACCCACTCCAACTGAGTATAATAAAGTAATAAGAAACAACAAAGTAAAACCTAAAAACGAATCCAACGAATTTGTACACTCCGAATCAATAAAAAGGATAAATTTATACCCGATCAATCACAAACAAAAACCCTAAAAAGGCATTAAAATATGAGACGATCTTAGAAAGAGGTAGCCATCGCTTTCCGTCTAAATCACCCGAAGCCGTAATTAAAATGAAAATACTAAAAAGACATCACAGATATAATTAACTGAAAAAAAACTACCAGGAAAAACAACAGGAGTACACCGGTAAATACAAAAAATCTCCAACTGCATAATACAACCTATTAAAAGCATTGAAACAATCCTAGTCGCTTTAGAATCAACTATAGCCAACCAAGTATGAAATGGGAATAAGGGAACCTTGGTAAAAAATATAAAAGCCAAGGCAGCATATATAAAGTTGCGCTGACTATTAAAAGCCCATAATTTAATGAAGATACTGCATTTAACATAAGATAAGTATAATAGAATCAAGATTAATGGCAGTCGCGTTAATAGCAATTAAACAGAAAATTATCAACGCGAAATAAAATGCTCAGAATAAGGAGAGTTACAAAAAATTAAATATAGTAAAGGAAGCATGAAAAGCTCATTAAAGCAGCAAAACAGAATTGAATGACTACGAAAAACACAAAAATCTGAAGATTAATCGCAGGCCAAGGAAGAAAATGCTACGCCTCCCTCCTACACGACAAATACTAGAGAATAGTCCATATTCACCAAAGAAAAATATTAACAAGACCAAACAAAAAGGTACAGATTTCAAAACCAAATAATCTTTACCGACAACGACGATTCAAACACACCCAATCCAACTGAGTATAATAAAGTAATAAGAGAACTCAGTTGCAATCACACCGACCGACACGTGCATGGCCAGACCCCAAGATACGGCTTTGGCCCGATTCTATGGCATCCCTAGGGTGCACAAAGACCGCGCTCATCTCCGACCCATCGAGTCGCTCAAAGGGACTCCAACGTACACACTGGCTAAGTGGCTGTTCCGGCGTCTTAAGTCCCTGACTGCTGAGTCAGACACCACGGTCTCTTCGTCAGCATAATTCCTGCAGAAACTCAATGAGGTAAGCTTCCATCCAAATGAGGTCATGGTATCTTTTGATGTTACATCCCTTTTTACTTCTATTCCCCAGGACATGGCGATCAAAACAATCCAGCTGCTACTTCAAAGCAAATGCGATAAAACGGTGAATCGTCTTGGACACGCCCAAATCCTTCACCTCCTGAAGCTCTATCTCAGAACGTACTTCACGTTCGACGGAACAATCTACGAACAGGTGAAGGGCACACCAATGGGTTCGCCAATTTCGGGATTCATCAACGAGACGGTCCTACAACGGTTAGAGTCGCTGGTCTTCCATCACCATAAGACCGAAGTTCTGGGCCCCGTATGTGGATGATACCTTCGTCGTCATCGAACGGGATCAGGTGCTGACATTCCAAGAACATCTCACCATCGTTTTCCCGGACATTCAATTTACGATGAAGGAGGAAGAGAACAACCAGCTGGCCTTCCTGGATGTCCTTGTATGCCGCAAAGGTTGTAGTGGACTAAGAACCAAAGTGTTCAGGAAAGCGACAAATACGATGTAAGTACTGAACTTCAACAGCAATCACCCAATCAGCCACAAACGCAGTTGTGTAAGGACGCTCTATCGGCGTGTCCAAACGCACTGCAGTGACCCGGAAGAGAAAGATTACCGAACTACAATAACTCCGACGGGTAGTCAAAGCCAGTGGCTACCCGCGCATCTTCATCAACTCTACGTATTAGTAGATCCTGTTTCTGAACAGGTGTCTCGACAATAATGTGTTACCAAAATGTGTTTCATACAAGCCCCAAGTTAACACGGATGTGACGAGACGAACTGTATTTCAGCACGGCAGAAGAATGATCCGAGTCCTCCTCCAAGATTGCCACGCGAGACTGCGCAAGTACCGTCAAAAGATTGACCAAGAAAAGACCAGATGCTGTGAGTTCATGGGTGAGATCGGTACAAATCTGCTCCTGCAGAGGGTGACGGAACAAGCCCGCGAACAGAGAATGATACGCGACGCAGTACTGGAGAACAAATTCCGAATCTTGCCCAATCCAATGTCGCTCCGAAACGACAAACTGTTGCATAACCTGTCGTCAAAGGAGCTGACGAAGGATCAGATGCAGGTTTTACGGCACGAATCTTCATTTAACACGGCTGACGCCAAACCTGCTAACATGATTGCAGCAGTGAAATCAATCCTTTGTCACACACAGACAACGGAGGAGAATAAGAGCCTCATCCGACACGAAGTGTCGTCTCTCTTGATGGCCCACAGGCCGCGGGGAGTGCTTTCCGAGTTCGAACGTAATGCTCTTAGAGAACTGAAGCCCGACAAAGACCTGGTCATCGTGCCAGCGGATAAGGGGCGCTTCACGGTTGTACTGGACAGGACAGACTACCTTCAAAAAACCAAAGGTTTACTGGAGGACCGACAGTTCTATGTCCCATGTGCAACGAACCCTTTAAAAGCGCTGACACGCGAAATTAATGCCACATTGTCATCCTTGGAGAACTCAGTTGCAATCACACCGACCGACAGGTGCATGGCCAGACCCCAAGATACGGCTTTGGCCCGATTCTATGGCCTCCCTAGGGTGCACAAAGACCGCGCTCATCTCCGACCCATCGAGTCGCTCAAAGGGACTCCAACGTACACACTGGCTAAGTGGCTGTTCCGGCGTCTTAAGTCCCTGACTGCTGAGTCAGACACCACGGTCTCTTCGTCAGCATAATTCCTGCAGAAACTCAATGAGGTAAGCTTCCATCCAAATGAGGTCATGGTATCTTTTGATGTTACATCCCTTTTTACTTCTATTCCCCAGGACATGGCGATCAAAACAATCCAGCTGCTACTTCAAAGCAAATGCGATAAAACGGTGAATCGTCTTGGACACGCCCAAATCCTTCACCTCCTGAAGCTCTATCTCAGAACGTACTTCACGTTCGACGGAAAAATCTACGAACAGGTGAAGGGCACACCAATGGGTTCGCCAATTTCGGGATTCATCAACGAGACGGTCCTACAACGGTTAGAGTCGCTGGTCTTCCATCACCATAAGACCGAAGTTCTGGGCCCCGTATGTGGATGATACCTTCGTCGTCATCGAACGGGATCAGGTGCTGACATTCCAAGAACATCTCACCATCGTTTTCCCGGACATTCAATTTACGATGAAGGAGGAAGAGAACAACCAGCTGGCCTTCCTGGATGTCCTTGTATGCCGCAAAGGTTGTAGTAGACTAAGAACCAAAGTGTTCAGGAAAGCGACAAATACGATGTAAGTACTGAACTTCAACAGCAATCACCCAATCAGCCACAAACGCAGTTGTGTAAGGACGCTCTATGGGCGTGTCCAAACGCACTGCAGTGACCCGGAAGAGAAAGATTACCGAACTACAATAACTCCGACGGGCAGTCAAAGCCAGTGGCTACCCGCGCATCGTCATCAACCGGTGCATACGCAAATGGGACGAAAAGCCTATCCGCACGGACCTCAAATCTTAGCGGGCGCTTCCGTATGTCAAGAACGTTTCGGATGCTGTCGGCTGCCTTCTAGCACCACTTGGGGTTGGAGTTGCACACAGAGCGGAGGCAACCATCAGACGTCTGGTAATGAAACCGAAAGGCACGCTGCCATGACTAGAAACGTCTGGAGTCGTTTATCGGATCTGGTGCGGTTGCGGACAAAGCAACTTCGTCGGAGAACCCGGAAGACAGCTCTGAAAGAGAATTTCAGAACACGCTGCAGCGGTGCGGAGAAACGGCGCCAGCTCCCAAGTTGCGGCTCATTTGACAAGATCCGGCCACGCACTCAAACTCGACGAGGCTGAAATTCTCGCGAGAGCTGACAACCACGTGAGTCAGGAGCTACTTGAATCATAGTTTACTGGCCCCCAGCCCATTAACAAGTGCAATGAACTTACCCTTGCATACTCGATGCTGAGACTTCGTCTACGCGCAGCAGTTGGCCACGCGGGAACCGCACAGGTGAACACTTCCCAACACCATGGGCGGTGCGTCAGATGGTCGAGCAATCATCACGCCAACATCCAACGCAGGTGATCAAATTGCAGCATTTAACGACGCCAACGTCGACCATCAAGCAATTAGCACACCAACTGCGACGATCCCGGATGAAGGGGGAGCCGTGAATGTTCACAGGTATGCAGTAGCATGGCGACTGCGGCCCCGTGTGCATGAATCACCCGTATCTGCTGCTGTCTGTGATGATGGGTTCGAGTAGGAATCCGAAACGTCAGGCTAATAAGGTTCTTGTCCCAGCGATCATGTCTCCTTTTTCATGATCAAAGCATGGTCCACACCGCAGTTCGGCATCAGCAAGCGACAAAGTCAATGGCCGACCAACAAAATGGGAGCAATGTTGGCCTGCGTGTGAGGTCATTTATACTGAAGCGGGTTTGCAATACATGTATCTCACTTTATTCTGTCTACATTTACCCTGTTGCGATGGCACAGGAGATCAAGGTGATCGGAGATAGGACAGGGGATACTGGCTGACGGGTTCTAACAGCCTATCTGCGCGTGCAGTACAGGATACGATCCATGTCTACGTATGAGACTCCAACAAGTGACAGTCAGAGGTCGAAAAGTTGAGAGATATCATACGGGGAACATTCAAATGGGGCCATTGAAGTCAGTCTCTCATTCACAGGCGGACGAGTTAGCTCGTCAGTTAAAGACATTGCCAGCCAAGATTTTTAGCGCGTCGTGGCAGTTAAACACGATAACAGTAAGTGTCTGAAGTGAACTTGATTAGCTTCACCCTCTTCTTCCTTTCACTTGTGCCAGTGACCTATTCGAATCAAATCGACTGAGAACTAGATCGGGCGCCTTGGTTAACGTAACGTGCATTTGACGCCTTACAGGTCACTTAAGAGCGCAGATTTTGCAGGAGCGCGATGTGCCAAAGACGTCACACAAAGGCACAATTGTAGTTTGCCCTTCGTTTAAAATAACGACTGTCTTACGTCTTCATCCTCCTCCCGTGCACCAGTGGCACCTCTGTGTCGGCGCCCAAAGGCTGTCTCCCTGAAACCTGCTGCGCTGCTCTGATCGCTTCCTGGAAAGAGGGCAGATGCTCAGGGTCAGTACTTCTGTCACGAGAAAAACTATGTTGGCTTTTTTTACAGATCACGGATTCTTGGTTGGGCTTGACTCCAATTTTGATTGGCCACCTAGAAACCTGTAGCATCTTCAACCAGATACTATTTCCAGAATGTGGTTGACAAGCAATGACAGAAAACTGAAATGTGTGCAGGGCCTTCTCCTTTTGCTACCCATCCCCACTTTCAAGAGAACCTTTCCGCACAATACACTTCTGCTTCGTTTCGCTGCTACCAAAAATTCGGCATCTTTAGCCACAACGGGTAGGTTGCACAATGCACGCAAAATGACTTTTGTCGACACCAACCTGCAGATATTCCACGTCGCGATAGCGAGTGGATTTGACAGAAGTCGCCTCAGCTGAGGGTCGATACGATGAAATGCAGAGCTCCGAATCGAACATGTCTTGGATCATACCACGGCCACAGACCGGATGATCGTCCGGAATGTATGGCAGTGTCATCTGTGACAAGTGGGATGTACACGAGGAAAAGTAACAAAACTAGAGAAACAAGAAAATACTTACGATGGAGCCCGATGATTCGCTTATCTTCGCTCTAATCAAATTCTCATAAGCGTCCAGGGGCAAAGTGGGTGTGGCGGAGGGGTCTATGCATTAAGTATGAAAAGATAGTAACTTACAAAATTGCTTTTCGTACGTATCCCGAGGTGCTGTGAGCCATGAAATGTCTGCCATGTCAAGGTGCCACTAAAAGGCCTGTAACAGAAAAAAAGGCCCTTGAAAACTGGTTATTTTCAGTGGGAAAAGTAGATATGGTATGGGGAGAAGACATCTCGAGATTGTTATGTGGAGCCAAATGGGCAATCAGAGGCGTTCCACAAGTCATAGATAAGGGATAACGACATAATTTCGGATAATGCGGTGGGGCGAAAATGGGTTCATATATAGCGGGCAAGTCACTTAGTGCGTAACCTACGCAGATAAAGACACAAGAGATGATTGACATCAATGTTACTGCTTGCTTGAAGTCAAATGCAGTTCAAAGCTAAAAGCCTTGAGTTCTGCAAAATCCGACGTTTTTGCATTTATGAAGAGCAGCAAATCAGACATTGGAAGCTAACTTTAAAAACTAAGACGGCCTGAGAACATCAGTCGGAAATCAAAACAAAAAGATGCGCTTTTTCGCAACAGCTGCCTCTGACAAAGAGCGATTCAGGGTCAACGTGAAGGAGGTTAGGGGGGGGCATGTAATAACCGTTAAAGGGCGGTGCCCATCGTAAGGGACGTTTTAATCTAAAATCCATTCCTTATCAGCCATCTTAAGCGTCGTTTTTAAAGCTGATTTCACTTACGGAGCAAGCAAACACGATGGAGAAAGATATATCTAATAGTATACTATTAGTATACAATTAGCATACAATTGTACATGCCTAAGGCATGTAGGCCTTGTAAACAAAAACACAAGTAGTTTTTAAGAACGCTGCGGTGGCACCTGCCGATTATGTCATTTTTTCGAAAGGTTTTCACAGAAGGCAATAAAACAACAAAGGAATCTGTGAAATCATACCTACTAAGCGCAAATATCTGACGAGGCTCTTGAAAGTGACATATATGCTTATGAAGGTGACTGAACTGTAGAAGTGAGCATGATATTGACTACTGCTGTTAGAATATGTTCTTCCGTGATAAAACAGAAAGCAACATGAGGGCTATTTATTTGCACGCAAAGCCTGGATTCGAGTTTGAATCCATGAACTAGCTCATGTGCTGTCTATCACAAATGGGTGGGAGAGTTTAGGTGTTCAAAAAACGCGAGGACAACTTGCATTCAAAGCAGAATTTTAAATCGGCGTACCCGAAGTACAATAAACGTAGTTTACTAGTTTCGTATTTGGTTCCAGCACCATCAGCGACAACACATCCAGCCGCGATTCGAAATTTAAATTTGATGATTAAATTGAATCATGACATTCTGCGCAGAAATTAGCGTATTCTAACAATTTCTCGTGCACAATATAAAAACAACTTTACCATTTCAACCATCTCATTATTTTTTTCACATCTTTAAAATAAAATATGCATGATTATTGAGTTGACACTCTACCTTACTTGTGCTGAAAAAAGAAATGTGCAGCCGAAACGCTAGCAGAAATGCTCGACATATCTCTAAGAAATGAGAAATTTGTGATAATTATGTGGGGTAAACAGCTTAGGAAATGTGGAAAATCAAGTAAGGAAACTAAAGGAATAAGTTAAAGCCCGCGAGTTTTAGAGAGGAAAGATAAAGGACTGGTTGTGTAGGGAGAATTAAAGGTTCTCAAAGTCACCTAATTATCAAACCTCGCATGTGTCCATGCAAACTACGTTTGCACTAAGCAACATCGGATGTGAGAAGTTATTTCTTCCCGACTGTATTATGGGAGTACGGAATATCCTGCTGCAGGAGATCATTACGTCTCAGCAAGCTGCTGTTTCTTCCTATCTTTCCATGGACACACGAATTTCAGTGAAACTACGTTTCTTTCCACCTCATACTGTAATTTCCTTGCATTTTTTGCCAAATCTTTGGATTTGAATGTAGCGAATAGAGAGTTCAGGTAATTAGGTATGCTCTTCTGTTATACACTGAACTGAAATTCAAAAACTTGGGGTGTAGCACTGAGCCACAAAATTTCTCAAACCCGAAACACAGGCCAAGAAATCCGGTTAGAAGCAAGGCTATGTGTAAAAAAGGCATAAACACCGGCGTAGTTACTTGAAGTCGCTTATGTTTTTTAACCCTAGTGGATTGACCAGATACAGTTTAAATAATCAGGAAAATGTGTGGGGCAAAACTTTCATATTACTTATTCGATGTGAATATATTTTCTGCAGATCTACTATAAATATCTCAGTCCACAAAATACGAAGTTTTGATTTCCATTCACACACCAAGTTTCTCACTGTAAGTCATTCGGAACCTGGATCTTCCCGCATATCATGCAAAGATAATTTTGAACTGGTCCGCTGCCTAGGATTTTAGTTCACTTGCGACGATTGCTCAGTATTGGAGTGGACGTCGAGTGTATCGACAGTTTAAGAAGTAATATCCGTCTAGATGAACTGACAATGGCACAAAAGGCGTGACTGCACGGACTAGCCATTTCGCGTTTGTCGCATCTGTTCTGTACCTCCATGACGCTGTGATGCTCGCAAATATCTGGCCCCGATAGTCGATCCGACTGCCAAGAAGTACGATGAAGCCAACGGGAATAATTCTACACGGGATGCATTCATATGGAAAATGGGTCGTCCAGAAGTGAGGCGTTGAACACGGTGCAAAAATCTTTAATCATCTGTACTCGGACAGATGGTCAGCCTCCTCGACTGCGAATGGTTAATTTTATATTTTGGGTAGTTGAAAGGAGTGTGTGACTACCACCTGAGTAAAGTCAATCACACACTGCCAATATCCAGGGCGAGTTCTCAATCCCCAAATACCCAAACAGACTAGTCCAATCTCGACTGTTGTCAGTAAGGGGGAATTTGTTCTGCGCAGGTTGTTCCTCACCGTTTGACTATTCATTTATTTAGACCCGGACGCTTCTTTCGGCAACGCAACACTCCAACATCACTGTAGCTGGAGGGTGGCGGTGGTGTCGAGGTGTGGTATGGTCAGCAACACAGAGATTCCCAAATCAGAAGTCGGGGAAGACGGATTGGCGCGGACAACCTCTTGTGACGAGTAAGACCGTACAAGAAGTTCTGTAATCATTCGCCACAAGCTGTCTCCACAGACAAGAAGTCTGTGTCAGTCTTTAAGGTAACTGACCCTCAGTGCGTGTGTGTGTCTTTTACCTTGTCCAATTAACGCCCGCCAGTCGATCAGAGAAAGGGCAGCGTCGATTAACTTCGAGCTCTCTTGAAGATAAAGACAAAATCCGCACGGCCCCAGCAGCGAATCGACAGGGTACCTGGGTTTACAGATGGACAGCTTGACAAAACGATGGATGTCAAGGGTCAGTTCAGGCACAGGACCCCCAAAATGAATTCGTTAACGCTCAGAAAACAGGAGTAATCAAACGATCAGGAAAAGGAACGCGGCGTCCTCTACGGGTAATATATACAGAGGGTACAGTTGAAGAGTCAGGGTGTGCTGTGGCTGGAGTACTGGAGGTTCAGTTCAGTTCAGTTCAGTTCAATTTATTGAGCGAAATAGGCGTAAGCCCCTGAGTACGCTATTTGCAACGTAAAAAATGTGTGGTGTAGAGATAAATGTTCTGGGCTTAAATGGTGACATCACAACATCTGCGGGCAGCTCGTTCCGTGGTCTGACAATCCGAACCGAGAAGGAGAACTTCCGCACATCCAGCCCTGCCTGCTGAGTGCGCAGTTTTAACGGTTGACCTCAAAGGTTGATCGTGATAGCAAATTCACGAAAAGTCCTCGAAGACCAGACTGCAATCCAACCCCTTTATAATGCGGAAGGCTTGCAAGAGATCCCCGCGAAGTTGCCTGTAACTCAAAGGAAAGAGTTTCAGATTTACTAGGCGGGTTGCATAAGGAAAGGAGCTTTGACCCCTAACCATCTTCGTGGCTCTCCTCTGGACTCTTTTTGATCCTCAACAGCCCACGGCCTCCAAGCTTGTATGCCGTACTCTAAATGCGGCCGGACAAATGTTCCGAATGTCTTAGAGAATGCTTCTTCGTCAAAGTCCATAAACGCACGCTTGATGGCGTACAGTACGGTCATTGCGCTTTTTGCCACCCTCGAACAGTGGGCGGATGGTTTTAGGGAACTCGTCGTCAGCACACCGAGGTCCCTTTGGGCTTCGACCTTTGGTAGGGCTGCACCGCCAAGAAAGTAGCCTCTTGTGCTGGCGGATCTGGCTGTGTTGCCTAGGCGAAGTATGCTACATTTGGCAACGTTGAACCGCAGGAGCCAACGGTTTGACCACTCCTCCAACCGATTCAGGTTCATCTGCAGTCTGTCTTCATCGGCAGAACCCCGAATTACATCCCATATCTTCATGTCATCCGCAAGCATTGCTACTTCACAGTCTAAATCTCTTGCGGCATCGTCCACGTAGATAAGGAACAAAATGGGTTCCAGTACTGAACCCTGGAGGACACCACTGTCGAACATAGCCGGATCAGATTTTCCCCGACCGACGCACACAACCTGGTGTCGACCCACAAGGAAGTTTTCGATCCATTTAAGGAAGTTGCCACCGATCCCTATTCTTTTCAGCTTATGTAAGAGCCTTTGGTATGGCACAGTGTCGAACGCCTTCTGGAAGTCGATGAAGGCTATGCGGACCGCGTGCTTCTCTCCGAGAGCTCGGGTCCAGCTCTGGAGAGATTGCAGCAAGTTTGTCGTGCAGGATCTTCCTTTTCGGAACCCATGTTGGCATTTCAATATCAGGCCGTGAACTTCCAGCAATTGCATCAGTTCACTCTTTATGATCCTTTCCGTCACTTTGTAGAGAATGCATGTCAAGCTTATGGGTCTGTAATTTGTCGTCGCTGTCCTGTTACATCCTTTGTGTAGCGGAGTAATATGCGTCAGCTTCCAATCGACAGGAAGTGTTCCAGTGTCAAATGACGTTTGAAAGAGCATCGACAAAGGCACAGAGAGCTCACTGGCAAGTTCCTTGCGAAACTTGGATGGAATCTCGTCTGGTCCTGGCGACTTCGATTCGTTCAATGCCTCTGATTCTCTTCGGACAATGCCTTCTGAGAAGAGTATATCACTGACGCTTGGAGTCGGCAGTTCTTCTGTGGAGGGCGGAACGAACCTTGCCTCGTTTATGTAGACTGATTGGAAAAACCGTGAAAAATACGCAGCTTTATCCCTACTATCAGCGATCTCAACGCCATCAGTAGTCTTTATCAAGGGGATTGAATGCCTGTTCCTTGTACTTCGTCGGAGGTAGCCGTAGAGCAAATTTGGTTTCTGCGTTGCTTTTTGTAGTAAGTTCTTCTCTAATTCCCGCCGCGTCTTCATTATCAGCTTCCTCAGTTTGTTCTTTTGTGTCTTGTAGGTGTTGAAGCATTCAGCTTGTCTAGTGACGCAGTATTTTCTCCACAATTTGTGCTGCCTGTTGATTTCTTCCTTAAGGTTGTTGTTTAGCCACCCAGGACGTTTGTCCAGTCTTACACTTCTCAGTGGACAGTGGTTGTTGATGAGCTGCAGAAGGACATTCTTGAACAGCTCCCAGTCATCGTTGGCACTTCCCGTAAAAAATGAGCCCCAGTCATGACCGGATAAGTCTGCCCTCATCTGATTGAAGTCGCCCCGCCAAGCAATACGTCTTTTATGGTCTGGAGTATGTGAAGTCGCCCATGATCATGGTGTTAGGTCGACTGGAAAATTTCTCCAACTTCTCCACTAGTTGAGTGTCGGCGATGCGGTCTGTCCTAGGTGGTCGGTAGACAGTGAGGACATCAAGACACGGGGAACCGGTAGCCTTGATGGTCAATCAGATAGCTTCCGTACTGCACGCAAACTTGCTGGTGTTATCCGACACTGCCAGACCTTCCTTCACATACACAACGATACCACCACCCTGACGATTTTCCCTGTTTCCCGATAAATTTGGTATCCACGCAAGGCTACTTCGTTATCGTTGATATTCCCGGACAGCCAGGTCTCAGTTACTGCTAAAACATCTGGAGACAACTCAACAAGGCGAAGTTTTAGTTCGTCTAGTTTCGATATGAGACTTTGGCATTCGTGTGCAAACACCTCAGTTTAGCACAAGCCAAATTTCCCGTTGCATTTGTTACTGCTGTGAGCATTACTCCGTTATTGCGGACGTCGTGTTCTCTAGGCTCTTCCGTTACCTGATTGGTTCTATTTATAAGCCTTGTTTCAGTCAGATCACTGGACGCTACGGGCTCACTTGTGTTGACGCCTTGATCAGGCGGTTCAACGAAGGTGTCTGTTTTGGCTGAGTAGCTGTCGTCGTTCGTAGTATTACAGGCTGGTTACACTGAAACGGCATACATTTCCGAACTACCTTCCCCTTGAAGATAGCCAGATTGTGTTCGCCATCCTTCAGTCTTGATTTTAACTCCAAGACAAGTTCCCGGCGTTTCAACCGTTCCGCTGGTGAATAGTCCGGTTGAAAAAAAAACCTGTTTGTGTGTGTTTCTGAGATCGTTTTTTTCGAGAGGATAAACTTCATTTGCTCTTTGTTCTCCAGCATAATTTTGAGAGGGTGAGGTGGTTTTGCTGCTGTCCTGTCTTCACTCCTTTTTCCCATCCGGAATGTGTTCAAAACCTTTATTTCCATGTGTACCGGGAGTAACTGATTTAGCAGACCATGGAAAGAAGCAAGGTCATCTGAGACACGGTCTTCAGGTCTGACTGCATTCGATTCTGACAAACCCTGAATAACCAAACACTTCTGGCGAACATGGTCCTCCTTACTCTGTCTTTCCGGTGAATGCGCTACATGTGGGCGAGGACGATTTACGGAGTCATCGCTTGGACGCACACTTTTACGGTCTACCGACTGTCCCGAGCAACCCATCAGGGCTGGCTGTGACTTCAGAATCCTGCCATGGCGTTTTCCTTTCCCCTCTACCCACGGGGTTACGTCCTCGCATTCAGATGCGTGCTCTGTAGTGCGCTCGGTGTGGTTGCCAGAACAAGAGGGCGACAGTAGACTGGATGACTCAGGTATATCGTCTCCAGGCAGAATAGAAATCCCATCACTTACAGTAAGAGGCTTAGGTGAGATGGCTTCCGCGCCAGGTAATTTTTTTGCGACATCGCTTAAGACATCTTGCGTGGGAATCGAGTCTGCCTTTATCGGCGGCTTCGTTTTCATTGTCCTGCTGTTACCGGCGTCCGCGGTTTTGGCTGTTGAGTTGCAACTCGTATTTGAAGATTCCCCCAAGGGGATATTCTTTCGCGTTTTTTTGCGTTTTGCTCCTCGGTTTTGGGATTCTAACACTGGACACGTTCTGGCCGACTAGGGTCTGTTTCACGAGCGTCCTTAAATCAGCAAGCTCCTTTTCGAGTTGTTCTACTTTGATTAGGATATCTGCGCACCCACCACAAGGCTCGTCTTTGTACCTCACACATTTTGCCGTATTTACGCTTTTTGCATGCTTTGCTGGTCGTGGGCTGGAGGCGATGTTAGAGCGAGCACAGGTTCTGGATGCGAAGGAAAACGCACCGGACTTATCTTCCAAAGAGGTGCCGTCGCTGGCCGTACAACTACAGTTAGCCTGCTGAGAATCCATAAACTTTGACGTGATATAATAGGTATAATTTCGCTTTCGATGTTATAACGAATCCGTCGGCTTATATATGATGAAGTTAAGTGAGTATTCAAAACTCAATGAGCGAAAAAATGCTTAAAATCCGATAAATTTTGTTGAATTTAATCAGAAGCGACTTAGCCCTTTCCAGACCTCCTGGGACTTGAATAACCGCAGACCTTGAAGGATTTTGAGCGATTGGTTTTCCAGGCTGTATATCCGCTAATCGGTTGCGTAGCCAGTTGCGTTGTCAGTTGGACCGTGATGATAAACAAACTGCACTTAATCCAGGTTCCCGGCGAATTTCGATGCGTGAAAAAATATTCCAAAAATGCATAAAGCAATTCTGTACGTACTGTTTAAGTTCAACGTCAGAGACCGTAAATGTAGAATGGTAACCAATTCGAAATTGTCCCAGTTGGAACGCAGAATAATTCCGTCGTGCTCAGTTGGGTTCATGAAAGGTCTTTATCTGGGGGCAGCGGACATTGGGAAAGAGGGAGTATATGGGAGGGATGGATACAGGGTCGACAAATGGGACAAGGGATTTGGACTACAGGGTCCGTCCGGAAGAATGTCAGAGACCGCTCGTGATTTCCACATATAGCCCGGAGAGGGCCATCGTAGGGTGGTTGCAGTGGCCAGCGGACATGTTCACGTCGGGTTTAGACATGAGAGTATACATACAAGTATTCCTCGGGATAAGACTCTGAGACGGGTAGCCTAGACGGAACCAAAGAAATGCGTTAGCGACTGTCGGAGCAACTACGTCGGACAGAGTGATAGCTTCCAGCCAACGGGTGAGTCGATCTACACAGGTTAAGTGATAGGAACAGCCCTTGGACAAATGCAGGACGCCTGGGATATACAGGTGCACATGACTTACCCATGCATCCGGAGTGGGGAAGGTGCTCATGGAAACATTGTTTTGTATTTGGGCATTACTCCGCGCACGACCAACAGATTCGTGTCCATGCTCTCAGGACCTTGCGTATCCCAGGTCAGACGAAACGGTTGGAAACCAGCTTGTTGGTAGATTTAATCAAAATGTGGGATAGGTTGTGCGGGGAGAAGACTTTGCGGCGGAGGGATGGCGGAACAAAAGCCTGTGGGAGGAGGTGGAGACACCACAGAGTGTGGCACCGTTTCCAGTATTCAGTGGCAGGTCCTGAAGTTGGGGTTCGGCACCGTCTTCGTCACAGGAAGAGCCAAGACAGCATTGTTCGGCATCCCTTTCAGCAAGATCGATCCCAGGTAAAAGTTAAAGATGAGCGATGGAGGGCCTGGAGAATGCGCCATCCACCTTATTGCGTGGCCCGTCGATGTGACGGATGTCTAAAGTAAATTGCGGAATGTGGTCCATTTGACGAAGTTCCGGGGTGTTGAGCTTGTCGGAAGCGGACTTGAGAGCTAGGCGAAGGGACTCGCTGTCCGTTAACACGAGCACGAGGGGAGACTCTCTAGCGGCAGAATGGTGTCGGCACAGTGCGGGGGAAACCGGCGCTATAAATTCGCCAGGTCTAGAAATCGCTGCTGTGGACGTTCGGAAGAGGGAGGCGGGAAATCGCGTATAGCCGCGATGTTCAATGGAAGAGGATGGATGCTGTTGGAGAAGACCAGATGCCGGAGGAATTCTGGGGAGGGGAAACCGAAGACGCACTTGGAGGGGTTGATAATAACGCGATCAAACCACGTTGAAAGACGATCCACATATTCGCGACGGTTGAGTTAGCAATCAACAGGTCATTGATATATGCGTAGACAGGTGGTAGGCCGCAAAGCACTCTGCCTACGAACATCTAGGAGTTCCGAGAGACGTTGAGGAGTCCAAGCGGTCTGCTCAGGAACTCAAAAAGGCCAAAAGGAGTGATA